ATTGCCTTGAGGAGGCTAATAGGGCGATGGCTGGAGGGGGAGGTTGAGAGGCTTGCCTGGCTTGGGAATTCCAATCACAGTAGCCTCTTTCCACGTCGTGGGGAAATAACTGAGGTTGAAGCAGGCGTTGAAGATAATAGATAAAAAGGTTAACACCTGCTCAGGAAAGTGTTTTAGGGCTTGGTTGGAGATGCCATCCGCGCCCGGAGCCTTTTTGGGCTTAAGTCCTTTGATGAGGGATGAAATCTCATCATTGGACACAGAGATAGGTTCGGAGGCCGTAAGGGGGTGAGTTCCGGCGGCGGACCTCATCCTCCACTGCCTGGACGTGAGAGGGGTCGACGTGTTGAGAATTAGGAGAGCATTGAGCGGCAATGCTATCTGCAAAGCACTCAGCCTTTTCCTCGTCCTCGAAGGCAACCGTGCCGTCGGGACGGGAGAGAGGGGGAGTGTGGGTGATAGCGTCTATGCGGAGGGCTCTAGCCATCTGATAGTACGCTGTGTGAGATGGAGAGATATTCTCCATGAGCTTACTCTTTTCGAGGTCTCGAAATTCAGAGAGGCGGAAGCGGAGTTCTCGTTGAAGACGATTGGCCGCGCGCCTATATTCGGGGGGTGGGATATTTTGCTGCTCTCCGTAAAGCAGCTTTTTTGGCTTTTAATAGGTTGCTAATATGTAGGGGAAACCCACTATTGTTAGCAACCGGGACGACCCTTTCGTTCTCCTTAAGGGAGGATTTAATAAGGGTGGAGAGTGAATCGACCGCGGTGTCGATTTTTTCGGGACTATCTAAGTCCGACGGTAGGGAGATGGTAGAGTCCTTGTGAGTCCAAAGCTTTAGCTAGGGACTCCTTGAATCCCTTCCAGTTAGTGAAGGTTTTCGTGTGTGTTGGGGGAGGTGGCTAATGGCCAAGAATGAGGGAGACCGGTCGGTGATCTGATCCTAGATCGTCTAGTGTCTCGATTGCTCTGAGGTTGAGAGAAACTCCTTGGAGTAACGCAAAATCTAACACATCGGGGGCGTGATTGGTGTTATCGGGAAAGTGAGTAACACCGAGAGGACTATGGACGGTAATATCAAGACACTGCGTGATATCGAGCAGTATCTTGCCACTAGGGGACGTAGTGCGGCATGTCCATTCAGTATGCTTGGAGTTAAAATCTCCAAACATAATGACTGAATTGCCTAAAGATAAAATGGCCTCAAAATCTTTTTTGAGGGGATAGGTTCCTGAAGGGATGTAACAGGAGGCTATGAGGATGGACTGATGTCCAGTCATAGCTAGCCTGCATACCGTGGCTTCCATGTTGGTAAGCTGCGGAGTAGAAATGGGCGAGCAATGAAGTGTCTTCTTGTAATAGATGGCCGTTCCGCCGCCTCGGCGGTCGGGTCTGTCGTTACGAAGAAGAGAGAGTTTTTAATAGAAAGGCCTCTAGTGTCCTTAGCTTTGAGATTAGTTTCCTGTAGGAGGAGGAAATCGACTTCACGATTCCGAAGAAAGAGCTTAAGCTCTGGGAGGTTATTTCGCAAGCCGCGAATATTAAATGTTACAAGCGATAAACCCTTAGGTTTGATACGACCGTGAGATTTAGGTAAAGCGATTTGCTCCGTCATTGAAGTTAAGTTAATTAAGTTAACTTAACTTACAACGCTAACAGAAGGTTATTTTGTTCTGCAAGAACGAGAAGGCGTTCTTGGGGGACTTCGCCGCGCGCAGTTTGCGTGCTACTACGGTTATTTCCCTAACATCGATATTCCTAATAGCGGAATATAGCGTGTTGTAGTCGTCGGGTGTGGGCTCTGCTTCATGTGCGTACGAGGTTGTCCGCGGTGGGTCTGCCTTTTTGGGCCCCCAGGGAAAGACTGGAGGCTGCATTGGTTTGGAGAAGCCCGGAGGGGGGCCGAATTATGCCCTGAGGGGGCCTAGGGGGACCCTGAGAGGGTCGAGAGAAGCCCTGGATGGGCTGAGAAAGGCCCTGACGGGGCCGTTGTTGGAGGGCCGGGAATGAGCGGTCATTCAACGGCGGTGGAGCTTGCCTACTGGGGCGAGGTTGAGGTGCGCGTGGGCAACCCCTGTAGTTAGCCGGGTGTCCTGTCTGGTTGCACAGGACACAGGCGGGCGGGGATTCGGCGTCTTTGGGCCGGGGACATTGAAAGGATTCCGAGCTAAGCGCGAATAGGTGCGTGAGTGCGGGAAGCGGTGTGGGTGTCGTATCGTTAACCGCAAATATCCTAAAATAGTTCAATACGTCAATAGTTTTGTTCGAAAGTTTTTTCTTTTCTATTCTTTGTTTTGGGTAGTCTGCGACTGTGAATAGGAATGTATTTTATCTTAGGTAATTATTATTATCTAGCAGATTGAAATAAGTATGTGCCGTTATTTAGTTAGATAATTTAAATACGTTTTTACCACCATTTCGAGTCTTGTTCCTTTCATCCAAATTTGCTTAGCTGTTTAACGTCGTAAAGTAAAATAGAAAGAAACTAACAGGACGTTACTATTAAGAGCCGTGATAGCTCAGAGGGTTTGCGCTCACTGTAAATTTCACAGTGCGCGAGCAAACCGGGTTCGATCCCCGCCGGCACCAATGAAATTGTTAATTGCAATTTTAGGTGCTAATTTACCACGTGCTCGGCGGTGAAGGATAACATCGTAAGGAAACCTGCATGTCAGAGAAATAAAAGAAATATTTCAAAGACATGTGGAGTTTGCCAACACGCATTGAGGCAGCGCGGCGGACACTTCCTTGCCCTAAAACCCCCTCAGAATAGAGGGGAGGCCTGTGCCCAGGAGTGGGACGTATTTTAAGAAAATATCACATTTATTATATGTGTAGGATTTGGGATAGGTTACTGATTTGGACAAACAACATTGCCTTTATCGTCGCATTACATTGTTTGCTCTTGAATGGGCAATGATGAAATGTTTACTCGTAATTTTCTTCTAAATTGACCTAGATTGATGATATTAATATCTGTTGCAGAAAAACCTAGCAAAAAGAAGACTTTAAAAATGATTATGAAAATCCTGTACCATCAACAAGTCGTGAATCTCGAGATACAGCCATGGTAGTCTACACGGAGAATAATTCAAGTGATATAGAAGACCTTATTCTCCAGTTGTATCAGAATATTTACTCATCACACAAGTCGTTCCTCAAGTCTAGTTAGAGAATTATGTTCTCCTTTGCCTTCGTCGTTGATTCATGATATCATAAATAGTCCTCAGAATGATTCAGAAAGTACCTTCAAATTTGATACCCCTTTAAAAATGCATAGTATTGTAGATTTCATTGCATCCCTTTAATTATCTACACAAATATGAGCATTATTGACAATTCAAAGGAATTGGCAGATGATAGTGATATAACATCCCAAGATAATTATTATAATAGAATCGAAGTAGTTAAACCATTATCACCCTCAATAGATATTTCGTCATCTTCTATTAAAGAAAATTCTCTCAATTTGAAGAATTTACCACAAAACGCAGAAATTCCATTATCATGTTACAAATACTGATTCAATTGTCACTGATGTTATATGTAATGTTACGGATACAAACCATTTTGATACAGCTGAAGCCACTAAGTCTCAACCTTTGGTAATAAATGAAGGAAATTTTAAGCCTAGGAAAAAGAAATCAAATACTTGTGAATGGATATCTGTAAAGAGTAAGAAAAATAAAAATAAAGGTAAGGCTTATATAAGTTAAAAAAATTAAACAATCGTGTGTAGCAAAAACTATGAAAGATCCGTGTTCATGTAAAATGAAATGTTTTGAAAAATTTTCTGATGAAGTACGAAAGAAAATTTTTGACTTGTTCTGGCAAATAGGTGACCATGAAAAGCAGTGGTATTTAATTTTAAATAATGCTCAATCAACAAATCCAAAGGATATAAAAGTGGATAGAAAACGAGATCGTACTAATACTTTCATTTACTATTTTCCTTTGAATAATGACAGTGCTTTAAAAACTAAGAATTTATATTGTTTTATTGTAAAACAATGTTTATAAATACATTAGGAATTAAAGAACGAGTCGTTTATACTGCCATGTATAAGCTTTCTAATAATGAACAAATTTTAGGTTTAAGCATACGAACCGACCTTGTAAAATTCAAGATAATACTTTAGAGAGTATAGTACAGCATATTAAGTCCTTTCCTTGTATAGGGTCACATTATTTAAGAGGAAAATCTACTAGACAATACTTGTCCGAAAATCTTAACATTTCAAAGATATATAGGCTCTATAAAGATTGGATGTCTGAAACTGAACATTTTCAAGGTATCAAATTAGCCAGTCAGTATCAATACATTCAGATATTCAATACTAAATTTAATCTTTCTTTTCATCGACCGAAGAAAGACATGTGTCAAATTTGCAGTATATATGATATTGCTGATAACGAAGGTAAGATAAAATTACAGAGTAACTATGACAATCATTTAAAAAATAAATCAACTGTTAGAAAAATAAAAGATCAGGAAAAGTATATATCAGATCCAAGTATTAAAACAGTTGCAGTTTTTGCTTTAGAAAAAGTTCAGAACATTCCTCAATCTAATGTAGGAGTTTTTCATTATAAAAGAAAATACCCTGTGTATAATTTCACGGTTTTTGATTTATTAGCACGGCAAGGTCATTGTTACGTATGGCATGCTAAATTGCAAAGAGAGGTGCAAATAAAATTGCAAGTTGCTTATATCACTTTATAGAAAAAGAAGCCAAACGGGGTATAAAACAGATTTCTTTATATTCTGATAATTGTTCAGGTCAAAACCGTAATATAATTTATTTTTATTATGTACATGTACGCTTCACAAAAATTTAACATAGAAATTGCGCACCGGTTTTTGCAAACAGGCCATACGCAGAATGAAGGTGATGTTATGCATTCCTCAATTGAAAAAAATATGAAACATAGAATTATTTATACGCCTGATCAAGTGTACGAAGTTATAACTAATTCTAGGGTGCACAATAAGCTTATAATGAACGAAGTCAATCAATCTAACATTTACGATTTTAAATCTATATCAACAGTAAATAGAAATTGGGCATATGATGTAGATGGAAGAAAAATTTTGTTGTCGTACTTCAAAGAAATAAAAGCAGATCCTAATTTATCTGGAAAATTGCTCTATAAATATGAATTTGAACAAGAGAATTACTACGTGCTGGACATTTGTAATCGTTCCTCGTCACGTAAACGTAAATGGAATGGAACACCAGCAGATGTTGAGCTTAAACCCGCGTATAATGGTCCGTTACCTGTCTCAAAAGCTCTACATAAAGATTTGAATAGTTTGTGTGAATTAAATGCTATACCGGCTTATTACCAAAGTTTCTTTAAAAACCTAACCGCTGAAAATTACATACCGCAAGACACTTTCGATGAGGATTAAGACTCTTTTGTAATCTTAACTAATTAGTTTTTTCAAAAGGTTTTGGAGTTGAATTCTTTTCAGTTTTATACGTAAAGTTTTTACTTTTTATAGGCTGTTTTCATGTTAGCAGTGCCGAAATAATAGTGTGACATATTTATTAAATTTCATAGGTTTTAATTTTGTTATGTACGTCAGATGCTGTTTTTAGTTTTTATAAGAATAAGTTGTTACCACAAGGAAAATTCCTAAATAATTATGTAGTACAATTAATAAATATTTTTAAATTCTATGATCTCATTTCATACTTAAGATAATGTTAATGTTTTTATTTAATTTTAGGTAAAAGATTTTTTTATTACTGTTTTAATAAAAATTAAGTTTATATTGCCAATTAAAAATGGCAGCAAGGTCTGGTATTTATTATAATAAAAATTATTTGATTTTAAAATATATGCTTTTCATTATTTTATTAAATATTTAACCTATTTTTTCATTACAAAGTATACTTCCGTCATAAGAAGATATTATCTAGAAAGAAAAGATGTTAATGTTTTAACCACATGTACTTCTCATATTTTTCAAATAGAAAAAAGTTATAAATAGTACTTATTTTTATTATTCAAAAAATTAGTTTGATGAAAAAAGCATTATATTACTTCCTTTTCAGACTGATTCCATTCTATGGTGATGTATTCACGAACATTTTTTCTGAAATTATTAATTTTCTAAAGAACATTGGTGCATCTATTCATACATTTCTCTTGTAAAAATAGAGGCCAATAAAGAGTAGCGTAATTTAAATAAAAGGTAATAACTAATTAAATATTAACTTCTACTTTTAGCTTGTAAAATTAATGAAAATAGTATTTTTGACGCAATTTTTCATTAATAAGGTGTAACTGCCAGATTTTTTAATTAAAAGATATTAAGAAATAACTAGTTTTTTTGCTCTTCTGTAAAATGTACTTTTGACACTTATGCTTTTGTTCTTCTCAAGGTATATTTGTTTATCGCCAGCATTTAAACCTAATCGGTCCCTGCAAAATTTTTTTCGAGCACAACCAAATTATTCCTAACCTTTGTCGATTTGAAAGTCGTTAAAATAGGTATGGCAGCCATCTTGTTTTCTGTCGTTTTGATTTTTTCCCCACCGTTATTATTTTTCCACTTGTGAGTACATCATATTCTTGAAGAGCTGAACACGGACATATTTCGTTCGTATTATGCTCAGCGAAACTTTTCATTTCATATCCATATACCATGGGAGAGAATAAAAGAAATAGTCCGCTTTCTTTGGTAGTCACCATGTTGGATTTAGAGTGACGTCGTTTTATATTCGCAGCAAATACTTCCATTTGATACCCATATCACGGGAATCCATAGAAGATAACTAGACCGCCGCCGGTCGCACAGTCCTGATCCACTTGCATCCATCGATTTCCTGCATGTCTTACCAGGTAGAGGATAACCACTACTTTAAAATTCAGTTGCAATATTTGACCCTAACAAACATACAATGCAATTTAAATAAAATCTTATAAAAGGATATTGTACAAAGTGTTTAATTTTGCTATTTAAAAAAAATAACAATTAAAGATGTCATTGAACTCTAAAAATGGCTCAGGGTTTCTTTGCATAATTACATCTAGAATGAAGACGCAACAGATCAAGGATGCATAACTAATAAAAGCCAAGGATCATTAAGCTGAAGAGGATGTAATTTTTTTTTGGAGATTTATCCGTACGGCAGCCTTGCAGGTCAAGCGTTATATAAGGCGACCCGCCTTAAGCAGAGTGACGAACTAACGAGGCCTGCAGGTATACTTTATAGAGGGCTTGCAACAGGCTACAATTATTTTAACGATAAAAAATATTATACAAGCGTTATAATAAAGGAGCAAATTATTATAGGTACACGACGCAACAGTCGTGTACGAAATGGGCGGATTAGAATAACTGAGTGTATATTGGTATGAGTAATTTACGAGACTATTAGGTCTGTACGAGGTAGTTACGCAGTGCGTGTGGAAAAAATTCAGAGGATTACAATATGTTCCAAGCCTCGCACAGTGCAGCTTTGGTGGAAAAGGGCTTTCATAATCGAGATGTGTATAAAATAAGGGAGAGATGTGTGCGTTGGACGCGAACGGGAGATGGACTGTGAACGGTGGATCAGCGAGCTACTAGACTTAGTGAATAATCCTTAAGGCATCTTTATCATCCAAACATTTTACAGCTCTATCGCACGCCTTTGATGGAAATTCAGCCATAAACTAGCATTATTGGTTATTTTCGTTGTAGATTATATTAACGAGTAAATTATTATGTGTTTTTTTTAGTTTAATTAGTTTTTTCACGAATGTCATATTATAAATGCATAATGCAGTATGCATTATACATTTTTATTATGTTTTTAGTAAAATCGAACATAAAGTTTTTTTATAAACGAAAAATCTAACTTACAGTTAATCATCGAATACGTAAATAGTTATAATAATATATCTATTAATAAAATTAAATTTTAGAAATATATCAGCTTTTGCTAGTGATCACAAACTTTTTTGATGTGTATATATTGTCACTTATTCATATTCAACATAGTGATATTATGACGATTTAACTATCTTGATTACGCCAGATAGCAAGTACCCAGTGGGTAATAGGAAGCAGAGTGAACGGTGTGAAACATCGGGTTATAATCGTCTACCAAACGTCTTGATTGGGATAAATTAACCTTTCCTAAAGCATGGTTAGTCTAAAGAGTCTACCTAGCAGACTGTTGAGTTAAACAGAAGTCACCAGGCAGTAAAAGCACTGCCAAATATCAATGCAATAAACAACAACAAAACAACAGTGCAATAGTTCTCAGAGATTGCAATGAATATGTAGCCTTCTTAGTTTAAAGTTGTTTATAGGTCTCCATGGACTGCTGTAGCCACTTACATCAGCTGGACTATCACTTTTGTATTACAAAAAAATTTATCAAATAAATTTAATTAATTAGAAGTGATATTGGTATAATATTAAAAGTCTCGTGGCCCACTCTAAACATTCACGTGCAAAATAAATAATAAAGCTAAAAATCTAGTGGGACGCGACAACCTCACGGAACGTGAGAAATTGTCGCAATATTTGTATTTAACATTTATGTAAGAAGTTGCATTTAATTTTACAATGCATTTTTTTATTAAATGGAGAAATACTTTTAAGTATGTAAACGTTTACTGTTGTGATATATATTTTCGGTAGTTTTACTGAATAACAAGACTATCACAATTTGATTCTATTAAATGGTTTTTTTAATTGTAGAAAATTAGAAATTAAAGGTGTCCAAAACTCACATCAGACTAGACTGTACGGAATAAGAATTTTGCTGGGCTTAATTGGAAAATCGTTACAACAACAACAATTAGTGCATATATTATGATTCTGAAAAGTAATTACTAGCATAGAAAGAATTATAATATAAGTATATTGAGAAGAGTTTTGTAAATAAAATACTCATCAGACTAGGCTGAATGGTATAAGAATTTTGCCTGATTTAAATGGCGAATCGTTACAACTATTCTGCTAGCTAGTCCATATAGTTTTCGATTATTTATGATGATTTTTTTCAGACTTCGATAGGCCATACCGTACCATAGCTTGATAAGTTATTACTTTGTAAATTATTTTATTAGTATATGTAATGGTGAAATAACTTGGTGCTTGATAATTACATCAACAATTTTTTCACCATTACACACACTATTCAAAATATTGTACAAAAATGGTTATTATATAACGTAAGGGAGACTTATAAATGACAATAAAGAATAAATTTTTCGTTTTGAATAAAGTGTTCGCTACCAAGCTATTTAGAATTTAATACGTATAGTTAATTATTCAATAGTCCAGCTGAATTTCTTGCTAGTTCCTTGCAAGACGGGAGAATTTATCTAACCAGTGTAAATTAAACATAAAAATTACTTCCTTTTTACTTTGGAAATTGAATAATAAGGATCTATTTCTATTTCAAAACAATAGTGCCGTTAACATCTAAGTACTTATTGTTGCAAAAATATTTTTTATAATCACGAACAAATTTTCTTTATTTGATTTTATTTCAAAACGCTTACATAGAGGAAAATAAAACTTTTAATATTGTTTTTTAATAAATAGTTTACAACTGCGTAATTTAAGTTAAAATAAGAACAACCCAAACCATGTTTCGTCGCTTCATTCAGCTACCACATTTGTTTATTTTCTAGTGTGGTTCTGTGAATGTACAGAAACAAACAATCCTCCCTGAAAGTCATATAACTTCAAAGCAAAACAAAGAAATATTTAACGCCAGCAAGTTTATTTAACAACTCAATGTTTTATAAAGCCATGTTTATTTTACTAAAAGCTTATGATTAAATGATTATGAAAAGTTGTTGCGATTTTTAATTATGTTTTATAACCACAATGTATTTTATGTTTGAGTAGTACACAAAAATGTGTAATGTTCATGCCACACCTATGCCGGTAGCTGTTGGGTATGCTGGTAGGTGTTGGGAGCGCTAAGCTTGAAGTTGTTGACGAGTATGTTTACCGAGGACAAAAAGTCCGACTAGGTAAGTCCACCTTCAACCGAGAGGTCAATCAACGGATGCAACTCGGCTGGGCAACGTTCGGGAAATTACGACACATCTTCTCGTCAGGTATACCTCAAAGCCTGAAAACGAGATTGTAGAACCAGTGCGCATTCCCGGTGATGACTTATGGATCTGAGACGTGTTTCTTCACTACTGGCTGTATGAGGACGCCCAAGATCGCTTAGCGAGCTAAGGATAGGGATGTTTAGAGTTTCCCTGCGTGATAAACTTAGAAATTAGTATAAGCTCAGTAGAACCAGAGTGACTTACATAGCCCAACAAATTTGTAAGCAGAAGCGGCAATGGGCCTGTCATATAGTTCGAAGAAACGACAACCGATGGGGAAAAAGGTTCTCGAGGTTTTCTTCGTACCGGTTGGCGAAGTATAGGGGGACCTCT